GACAACACAGTCCACAGGGGGAGCGTGGGAGGTATAAGAGGTTCAGGAAAGCCTCTCCCTAGAATCTCCTGGGGTATATCCACTAGTTGCAGTAGTATAGATTTAGTCTGGTAAGATTCTGTCTATAACGTGTAAGCAAATAAAGGAACCGTTCTTGGGCTGGGCCTGATATAGATTTTACCTAATGCTGCATAAAATGATTATAGCTACTTGTGCCACATTAATTCCCCATTCAAAACAAAATGATCCTTTATTTATTTATTTATTTATTTATTTATTTGCTTTTAAATTTATATGCTGCCGATCTCCCCCAAAAGGGATGGTTTATAATAATAGAGATTTATAGAGATGATTCTATGCAAAAACACTCACACGTAGTATTACACATTTCCCTCCTCATATCAATCTGTTTCCTCTGTTCTCATTGTGGAGCACTAGTCTGTAAGCTGGAAAACACTGCACTTTTCCAAATGACCAAACAAACAAAAAATCCTTTGGGATTTTTCTTAATGAGAAGTGGAATACTATTATATATTTGTCTATATTTATGTGTATACAGTTATTTGCTTCTAAGCTGCATGAGAAACATTTTTTTTTATACCAATGTAACCATAGTTATCAAACTAAGATGTTTCCATTTCATATGTTAATTCATAAAGCCATTCTGCTTCATTTCCCCATTAATCTGAAAATTGTAAAAGGAAATATAGCAAATTTCCTGTCTTTTGAATATATTCTCTTGCAACATATACATTTCTACATATATCGTGAAACATGAAGTTTGGATGGCAAGAACTGAATTGCAAAAATCTGCACGGTACACAATCCAATGTTAATTAAATGTTGTTTAGGAGTTCTGGATCAAGTGTTTTTACAGCAGTTTGCAAAAAAAATTCTTCAAACATCTTGTGTCTGAGCTAAAAAAAGGAGAACTGCCTTACAGTTGTATTTTCGTGTAGAGTTTGAAAGTCCTACTCCCATGCATTTTGAACTTGTTCGCACATCCCACTAAACCACGGTTTGCTTAACTACATATTATCAAACAAGCCAGTTAGTCCAATAAACCAGGATGAGGCAACCCATTATAGCAGCCTTCTAGATTTGTAGTGCCAAAACTTAGTATCAGAATTATGATTTTCAACAGAAGTTATTTCCTCCCTTTAAAAAAAAGAGTTTTTTAATCAAACCTCCCCCCCATAGACATGCACACCCCTGAACTGAACTGAAATTTTCAGCCATGACCAGTCAAATATTTCTATATAGCCAGCCATGCCCCCTGCTGCCCTCAGCGTTCAGGTGAGCTTCTAATCTCTTACAAAAATTTGAAATGGCTTTGGTTATAATTGACAGGCATTCGGGTCAGGCAAAAGGAAGAAATACTTTCCATGAGATCTAACTAAAAAATCCAGGTGAACTTTCCATATTGGAAAACATGAATGTCACAGATCATGTTGCCAACATGAGAGTACCATGAACCCTTCAAGTGTTCATTGTTATCTGAATGCACTAAAGAGTTCCTTAACCTTATCAAAAAGATGTATCCTTCATACATGCTTGAGCCTCTTATGAATGATTAGTAGCAATGGGGAAACTCCCATACAATTTTTTTCCAATATGTATGTGAGAGGGGAATATTCCGTTTTAATTTTTGGAAATGCCCAGGGCGTGATGTAGTCACTATTTAGGCAGTCTGAAAGGTACACTAGAACAATCCAGAAAGGAAACTGCTAGATGTGCCCACTTGTCTTTAATGCTCCATACTCAAGAGAAGTCTACCTCTACTTATCAGTTGCTGAGAAGGTGCCATCTCCAAGTCCTACCTGTGGGTTTCCCAAGAGCATGTGGAAAATGACAACAAGAAACAAGAAGACGGCTGACACTAGGAAGTAGCAACAGGAATTGGGGGAAAGGTTTGTGGCCCGTGCAGTGAGCCCCTGGCTGCCCCCCTCAACTATCTATCTTTCTTTAGGGCCGTGAAGGTATTATCTCACTATTACTGATAAAGATCCAAGTTTCTGCCCACAAAAAGGGAACAACAGCATCTTGTTTTTTGTTTCAGGTAGCCAAATGGCTGGGGCCAACCTTGCTTTAGGCCAACTTGGCATGGCATGGATTTGATCCCCAAGTGCCTAAATGTTTCGTTGTTATTTAAGTGAAATACAGCAGTATGTAAAAATGTTCTGCCCTTGATGATGCCAGCCCTGAAAAAGGCCATGGGCAAACTTGGAACAGGATCTTTGTGGCGGTCCAAAAATGGTTTCACCTTGAAGCAAACCCATTTTGAATCTTCTGGGCCCAATTCTGGGTTGGACTGTTTCTGGAGCTCATAACTCATTCCAAGATTGGGATCTTCTCTGATGGAACACTGTGCGTGTCCCCAGGGAAGCCAATGTTTAAAAAAGTGGCCTTCAATATAGCTCTTTGGGCATTTCTGAATGTTATGTCACAACACAAAAACCGGGAGGAGGCAGGATTTAAAACCCAGAGATAAAACCCTTTATGATAAAATCTGCAAAGGCAGCCACAGAACTTTAAAAGGAAGATCGGAAATGCTAGCATATTAACATGGCAATCGACCCCAAATGGTCTCAAACAGATGTCAGAAGCATAATTATTAAAAGCAGAAATTACGTAACCAAACCTGATTATTGATTACACAACAGCATTATCTTAGAGCCTGGAATATGTTCAGACAACTACTTTAGAAAACCAGCGGCTCTAAGCCATTAAATTGCAAAACAATTTTATAACAAGAGATTATGTGCTTTTCCATTTCAATCTCTTTAATAGTATTAAAAAGCACCAGGGGAATGAAGAAAGTTCATTCCAAATCAGGAAGAAAAATAAATATATGTATTTTCACCTCCACCACCACTTTTTCTTTTCCCAGCTTGTTGATTCTTTCATCATAAAAGCTGGTTGGGGCAATCACACTAACCCAAGGACACATAAACCTTTCCACCATTCGTGGAACTCCTTTACTTGAGTCATTATAAAACCAGAAATTGTGTACTTAACTATATTTTACCATTTCATCTAAACTGGAAAAAACATGTGTGCTAAATCTGGAGGAAGTAGGATATTAAGCCACCATCTATCCATGAATTAATATCCTGGTTATTATCATTATTATAAGCTAATCATTATAGCTGGACAAATGCAAATCTGTAGTTAATAACAAATTCCATAGTTTTTGTTCTCCATGAGAAGAAAAGTAAAAGGCTCCATGTGTGTATAAAAATCTTGGTTTAATAAAATATGATCTTCTGAATACATTTTTGCATTAGGAAGGTAGGCTTGGGTTCAAACCTTTCATTTTTTGGTTTCTTCTCAAAATATTTAGCATATGGAAAAAATACAAAGTCCTCTCCAAACAGAAAAGTAAGAACAGATTCCCAATCATTTCTATCAATGTATCTTATTGACGTTCCTGTGAAGAGGAAACATTTATAGACTGAAGCCATTTCAACACTGTACATTATACATCCCGACAAATTCAAGAGTTGAGGCTACTTTTCGCTTCCAAGATTACAGCTGTTGCAACCATCTGATGTGAAAGCAGTACTGTTCGAATGACTGGGAGCAGAATTGAGATGCAACCCAACCTGTGAACAGGTAACTTCCATTTTGCTCTGGCTGGCTCCTCTCCAGGCACTTACTGTTACTATCTCTGGATCACACCCTCCCACACCATCTGCCTCTCCCAAAAGCCATACCTTGGAGAAGGGAAAGAAGGAAGCAGTTATGGGCACTATCACAGAAGGAGCAGAGAATCAATGTCCAGGATTAGAAGCATTAAAATCAGCAGCAGGAAACCAGATGCTATTGTGTCATTTCTGCCAAGAAGAAAATCCCAGATTCAAGTTCCTGAGGACATTTTCTGCACAACTCCATTGTCTGGCTGCCATTTTGGGGTTGATCCTAGCACAGGTATTGCTGTACTATGGACGCTAAATTCCTATCCAGCAATTCTAGGATTTCTCTCCTGCCCACAGAAGTCAACGGCTGCTTTTACATAATCTGCTCAATCTGGTTATTGAAAACCCATGTTCTCGGTTTGCACAATATAGTATAAACTAACAGTAAAAGGACTAGATTCGCACACTTAGTCACACAAATGTAAAAAGAAGTCATGCTTATAACTAAGCAAGCTTATCATGAAAGCAGACCCTAGATCTTGTAATGACTGGTTAAGTGTGTTAATGCAAACATGGACACATTGTGAGATCTGTAAAAGCTGCTTCCACACCTATCTTCTTCTCAGAGAAAATCCCTGGAAATGGGCAATTCTGTTGGAATACTTATAAAACCCAGAACATGTTCAGGATCAATGGGAATATGCCCCCTCCCTATTTTTGACAGTGATAATTTATAGGACGTTCCTCAGCAAAACAGTCCATTTCCCACCAAAATCATCGTTAATAAATAAATAAACTCTTAGCATCAACCATGAAGCAGTATTAAGCCTCCTTAAGCTTCCAGCAAAGAGCATTTGCGAGGGAACTGTAAGCTGGATTAGGACCATGGTTCTGGGAAAGCGGGAAAACTTTTTGCTCCTCTGCTCCAACGGGAGGCGATTTTTTCCCCTAAATGAGTGTTTCTCAACCTTAGCACCTTTAAGATGTGTGGACTTCAACTCCCAGAATTCCCCAGCTAGTATTGCTGGCTGGGGATTTCTGGGAGTTGAAGTCCACACATCTTAAAGTTATTAAGGTTCAGAAACACTGCCCTAAATATTGGTTCCTTTAGAAAACCATTGATCTTTCTCACAAAGCAAATAGCAAGGGGAAAAGGCCACATTAGCAGCATAAAAAAGGAGACTTGCCTCCCATGGGGGCATCGCTCATAGTTATTATAGCTAATACACCAAAGTAGTCAAACAGCATTCAGCATTCCCACATCTCAGGAAGTGGTTTGGGGACCCCTTTCAAAAGCTGTCTGTGACAACATCCAGATCAATGAAGCATAAAAGCATGAAAAAGCAGCGTCCGTTCACATACCTAGCAACGCCTGGAACAAGCTGCTTTTAAAGATGCCCATCACCTTCTTAATGGCTTTTTTCAGTTGCTGCTCCTCTGGCTTTTTTAGCCTCTTGCAATAATCTTCCAGAAGTGCTAAAGCTCGATCAGTGTCTAAAGAAAACAATAATAATGTAACAATGGTTAGCTGAACCTTGGAAAAGAAAAGAAGTGCAAAACAAGGGGATGCATTTGCCAATTGCTAATTAATCCATAACTTGGTTTTACTCAGGTCTACAGTGAAGAGGCACAGCTTAGTGGTAATGGTTAAAAACAGCACACAAATTTAACAATAAATAAATAAATTATAGGTTTGTATTCCTTTGCCTTCCTCACCACTTTATCCTTTTGTGTTAAGCATTTTAGACATACATCTCAGGGCAGAGGTTGCCTTGTTTATTATTGATCTCATCAACTACTTTGGAAGCTTATTTGTTACTCCGATGAAGAGCAAAATGAGAAAGCCCTTTAAATAATTTCTTTAAAATGCAAGGCAGCTGTATGGCACGTAGAAAAATTCCAATTCAAGGGCATCTGCAGAGGGGGCAGTCAAAAAAGTCAAGACTGCAGCTGTGACCAAAACCTCCCCCCCCCCACTTTTTCTTAACATACAGTTCATATAACACATTTACATAATTACTCACAGGACCGAGCAATAAAAAGCCACCACCAACATGTTCTTGTATTTTTTCTATTGATCAAGCAAAAGAAACTTGAGTCATTTTCTGACTCTAAGAAACTTAAGAAACTGTACTGTTTTTTTTTCTTGTGACGCTCTGTGGACGCAAAAGTTGGGCTCTGAGGAAGCAGGATGGAAAAAGTATTGACACTTTTTAACTTTATGCCTGAGAAGACTCTTGAGGATGCACAGATAGCCGGGAAAGCAAACAAATGGATCCGAGAACAAATCAGTCCAGAATTTTCACTTGAGATACAAATGACCAGGCTCAAGAAACTTCTCTCATTTTTTAAACAGTGCATAAACCGAAACGTTATCATTCAAAATTCAGTTTTCAAATTTAGCAGTTTGGAGTTTGCCAATTAAAAAAAAAAGTTTCTTAGAGAAAAGGCCGTTTAAAAGCAGATATAGGAAAATAACATACAAAGATGCATTATACTGGGAAAAGGGCTTGCCAATCCTCTGGACCTTAGGCAAACTGCAGATAAAAACGAACAACTTTGGAGAAATGTGCTGCAAAAACAAAAATTTTAGTGCAGGCTTTTTTAAAAAAAAAAATCTATAAACCGGTTTATCAGACTAACAAATCAAGGAACTGGGGTTTGTGCAGGCAAAGCATGAGGGAACCCAGAGCAGGTTTTGACAGAATTCCTGCTTACCCTGTGCCAGCAAAAAGTGCTTCCTATACTCGCTCCTGCTTTGCCAGGACAAGCCCAAAGCTAGAGCAAGTTTTGATAGTGCTCCTACTCTGCCTATGTAAGTCTAATCAGATTTTTTAAAAAAAACATACATCAGGCTGCATCAATCGAAGTACAGATTTCAAGTCACAGGAAATAATATTCCCACTTTTTTCTGCATTGGTTCTGTTCCAATGTATGTTTCTGTGCTTCAGTTTATTATTTATCAAAGCATGGGCTTCCGCATGGCTTCCTTAGAAAGGATAAAAATGTGAAATCAGAAAAAGATCCTGGAAGCCAGTGCAGCTCACACAGCAACAGTGCCACGTTCTAGATCAGCTGTTGTTTCTGGATGGTCTTCAAGTTCAGCCCCTTCGCAGTAATCCAACTGGGAAATGACCAGGGCGTGAGTGACTAGGAGCAAGGCTGCCCGCTCCCATTCTCTTTTGTTGGTGAGTGAAGGTGAGAAAGTCTTCCTCAGTTCTTTGTAAGACATATCTAGCTACAACTGGGTATACGCTTTAACAGTATATTTTTTTGTAATCAACTGGGCCTTCTTTCCATTCTGCCTAAGCATCCACCATATGCCAGTTGGCTGCAAGCCAAGCCCAAGCCTCAAAAAACACGGTTAAATCACAGCTGAAGGCCAGAAACTATTGGGATTAACAGAGGAAATATTATGGCCACAGGCTCTAATATGCTCAGGGACTTCCCCCCCCCCCATATTGTTGACCCATCTGACATTTAAAAAAAAAAAAGTAAAATAATAATTGGAAGATGGCATGCTGCAAAACATTAATCTTTTGCAAGTTCTTTATTTACAAGAGTATTGCTGGGCCCCATAAGTATGGGGGCAATGGTGGTTAGCTGCAACTCAGTGATTTCTTTGGAAGAAAACCTACTTGCAAGAAGCATTACAAAAGATAAAAAGTTGGGTACTTCCACTGTCTTGTGTAAGACCACCAGGTAAAGTCAAATCCCCTTTCTCTGATTTCTAAGGCACATTGGATTCGCAGCCAAGACACTATATGAGGTTCAGTCGAGCTATTCCTGCTTTCCATAAGCTAAATTAGGTAAGCAGTAGCTAACGATGATGCTGTTCTCAGGAATAGCTCCCTAA